ATCATGTTGCTGCTGATCTGTTTCATGTTGCTGCTGATCTGTTTCAATGTTGATGTGTTCATGCATGCACATCTGCTCACAGACTCATGTTCATGTTTGTGCTGATGTTCAATGTTTTATGTTATGAGTGCTTAGTGTATATTTAGTTGATGTTTTTCTTAGTTCATATCTTAGATGTTATTACTGTTTTTCTTATACATTTTATTGTTGGATGTAACTGGGACCCTGTGTACATAATTTCGCTCCACCACATGTACCACATGAGGTGCGAATGACAATAAAGAAACTCTGACTCTGACTCTGACTCTCTGAGTAACAGAAGCATCTTCTATCGCTTCACTTTTGCCACATCCAATATGGCGGCAACGTTGACATCTGATTCAACGCTCAATGAGGCATCTACTTGTATATGTCTATGGCTAACACAAGCTGCTGCTCTTAAACAGACCTACTGGTAATTAATTTGATTATAACTGTTAATGCATTAGAATAACTGACTTTACAGCTAAATGTTTGTACTCCAAGGGGAGGTTTGTTTTGTCTTAAAAGTCCTTTAAAGGCAGTTTATGGGACATTAACGCTTGTTGACCCTGGCAAATCGTAACCATGGCAACGGCGCCTCAGAGAAGAATGCGTCTGTGGCCTGACGGATGTGTTTAACCTTTAAAAACAGATTGTTGAAGATGTTTGAGGATGAATCTCTGGACTCTGTGACGGTCGGTTCCGAGTGGAGGAGCTCCCAGCAGGCAACGCTGCAGGCGGTACGATTCTGACCCAGAAGTCATGAAATAAAACTTTTGGTTTTTGTTTCGTGTCGAGATTAAACCAAGAAATCTTTTTTTCTTCAAACTAATAATTACTTACTGCACTTTTTTCTTTAAATTTTTTTTCTCTGAGCTGTTTGTTGCTGATTAATTAATGATTTAAAATATTTATTTCTGACTTTAACAGCTTTTGATTTTCTCTTTCAGCGGAGTTGTCAGACTGAAGCCGTGCACATCAGCGATGCAGGACTCCAGACCTGGTTCGCTGCCTCCACCTTCACTCAGACAGAACCACAGGAACCGACCGCAGACCTGAATCTTCAACAGCACCCTGATGAGCCCGATCCACCCGGCCTGCTGGACTTTCTGCAGAGAACCGAGGACCTGATCATCAGAGAGCTGGTCATAAACTCCAGGAGCCATGCCTTTGATGGATACCAGGCAGACTGGGATAACCACAGCCAGCGGGTCAGCAGCACCAGAACTTTTTCTGTATGTTTAGTCCTCAACAGGGGCGTGGTGTCTGAACCTGATGTTTCTACAGATTTCATGTCTCCATCGCCTGCAGAACCTCAGCGCTCAGGAGAAGAATCTTCATGTCAGCAGCGTGTCCTGGAACTGCACTGGTTCTGTTCTCGTCTGTGCTTACGGCCGGTACGGTACCGCAGCATGAACTCTAGTTTGTGAACAGGTCCAGACAGACCTGAATGAAGCTGTGTCCTCAGTATGTCTCTGGTTCTTGTAACTGTAGAGACCCGGAATTCTTTGGCTCTTTGGATGAGAAGTAGAACATCTTCAAGAACTAAACGTCTCCAAAAAGCACTTGATTGTTTGTGGAACGTTAGAAATGTATTTGCTTCCTGATAATTCTGTTGGAGGGAGAACTAAAGTAGTACCAGTTCAGAACCTTGTGGAACCCCAGAACATATGTTCAGGTCTTTGCAATAAAATCAGTGTTTCCCCTACCATTATACAAGCAGGGTGCACCGCCCTGTCAACAGAACCATACGCCCTGCCTATCAACCCCCACCTCCAACCCGCCCCGCTCGAAAAGCATAGGTACAAACAGCGCACAATACAGACTTGTCTTGATGTCCACCCGCACCACCCTGTCGACATAAATCACGGAACATACGAGCTCCCTGCCAAGGCAAGTAAACTAGGGGAAACACTAAAAATGTTCTGGTCAGTGAACGCACCGCTGAGATTAGCAGCTCATTGTTGGTGTTTGGTTTTGAACCTTCTGATCTGTTGGAGGTCAGTCATCTCATTGTGTTTGGGTTTTTATTCCGAGCAGAACCAATGATGGAGACTGGACCAACGAGAAGTCCTGTGTTTGTCTGTGGAACCTGGATCGCAGAAACCTAAACCCTAAACAGGCAGACCTGGTTTTGGATGTTCCCACAACGGTCACGTCTGTGTGCTGCCACCCCAACCATCCTGCCCTCATTGCAGGTACACACCAGTCACCTGACACCTTACCTGACACATGACACCTGTAACCTGCCCCAGGTCACCTGACACCAGGCACCTGTCTCCTGATGCCTGTCCCTGACACGTCACCTGTCTCCTCCTCAAAGACACCTGTCACCTGTCTATAAAATAAATATGGTTATAATTAGTAATAATAAGATATATAAAGGTATAATTCACTTTAACCTTAATTTAGTGTTCAATATTAATAATAAAATAGTTTTAATCAATGTTCATTAATAATAATAAAATAGTTATAATGAGTTATAATAATACTAAAATCACGTTAAATACATAAATCGGTGTTCATTAATAATAATGAAATAATTATAACCAGTGTTCATTAGTAATAATAAAATAAATACAGTTTTAATCAGTGTTTATTAATGATGAAATAGTTATCATTGTTCAGTAATAATCATTATTATTATTAAATAGGTATAACTATTAATATTACTGAACACTGAGTATACCTATTAACACTAAATAAATAGTTATAACTATTAACACTTCACAACATGCTCTTGCTGAGGTTGAACGCTTTTCCTCTCCCTCTCCGCTTTGCTGCTCTGTGTCTGTGAAACTGCTTCTGAGACTCTCTTGCATCTTCTGAACCATAATTCTGGACTTGTTTTGATCAGTTGGTCCCTCAACACAGTTGACGACATTTCTTCGAGAGAAGACAGGCTTCAGGCGAGCCGATTTGCCCTGTTGGCACGCACGCAGCTGGATATCTCATTGACTGGAAGACTTGATGATGTGTCTATCTCTGCCGCCATTTGTGGATTTTAAGGACGCATATTTAATTGGATTTTTGATAACTGGTTCCTGCTTTTTGGATTTGGCTGGTCACTTGTTTATCTACAAACAAGGAAGTCGTCGTCAGCAAATTAGGACCCGATCACGCTGCTTGCCTTTATGATGGCTTGGTTCGTGTCTCGAGTACCCAGACTCATATGCTTTGGGCAGAATGGATCAGATCTTGGGGATTTTATCAGTCACGTTCCATTGGTTTGTCCATGTTATTTGGACATTTCAGAACTGAGTCGACCAACACAGACTCAAGATAGATGTCATTAAGTTCTGCCTGTCCCCAAAATAACTGTGTTTATCTGAATCTGGCTCCCTTGGCTGACCTTGAAGGTCATCTTATCTGAATTCATCTGGAGGACATGTAATCTGACGCTCTGCTCCCCCCCC